CTTGCTCATCTCGGTCTGTCCTGATCCCTCCCTGACACACGCCTCGGCCAGCCACCCCACCCCACACTCAACCATGGGTGCCCCTGCCCGGGGACCATTCACAGAGCCCTGGGGCTTCCCGTTTGACCAGGCCGACCTGGCCCACGCTGAGCTCATGCTGAGCTGCGGAGACAGAACTGGCCCCAAGCAGGAGTGAAGACAGGAACGGGCTTTACCTTCTCAGGGTGGATGCCACAGCCCTCTGTGCTGAGGTGCCTCGGGGAGCTTAGAAGTGGGCCGGCTTGCTTGCAGCAAGGTCAAGGGGTCCAGGGCCTGCCTGGGCTTGTGTGCCAGAAGACCAGAGGAACTGGAAGCTGCTTGTGCTTAACTTGGTTATGAGGGAAACTAGGAAGGAAAAGGACCCCTTTTGTGCCTCAGGATGTGCCCTTTTTTTTTTTTTTTTAAGATTTTATTTATTTAGGGGCGCCTGGGTGGCTCAGTGGGTTAAAGCCTCTGCCTTCAGCTCAGGTCATGATCTCGGAGTCCTGGGATCGAGCCCCGCATCGGGCTCTCTGCTCTGCGGGGGGCCTGCTTCCTCCTCTCTCTCTGCCTGCCTCTTTGCCTGCTTGTGGTCTCTGTCTGTCAAATAGATAAAATCTTAAAAAAAAAATATTTTATTTATTTATTTGACAGAGAGTGAGAGATCACAAGCAGGCAGAGAGGCAGGCAGAGAGAGAGAGGGGGAAGCAGGCTCCCCGCTGAGCAGAGAGCCCACCACAGGGCTCGATCCCAGGACACTGGGATCATGACCTGAGCCGAAAGTAGAGGCCTAACCCACTGAGCCACCCAGGCGCCCCTGCCCTTTATTTTCTTAATTAGAAATAATTGAACCTTTCCACTCCTCCTCTCTTCCTATTTTTTAAGTCTTTGGCAAGTTCTCTAATGGAGCTAGTTGCTCCCACCTGTATTCTCAGAGTACTCTGTGTGAACTTGGCTATGGCACCCATCTCGCAAACATAACTAGTCTTCCCCGGGCCTGACATGGTGCTGTGTGTAGGCATAAACAAACATTTTTTTGGAATGAATTTTGGAATCCATACCCCCGGACCAAAGTCCTGTGACTCTGCTATTGGGCTTCTCAGATCTTGACTCTCTTCCACCTCCAAGCAAAACCCACTGTCCATGTTTCATTCCCTCTGAGCTGTTACTCTATTGCTTGTTCTGAAGAGTGACTGACACTTGTTGGAGGGAAGCAAGGTGGGGTGCTGGGAAGAATACTGCCCCTCTGGTTTCTTGGGATACCAGTACTGAGGTCTCTCTCCACGTCCTATGGACCCTGGGGGCCTCAGTTCACACCCTTCCTCATCAGTGGAAAGTCAAGATGGCTTCCAAGTTCTTCCAGGGCTGAAGTGAAATCCCTCTGTGGGCCAGGGCCTGGTTGGTCTTGTGCTTTGTGTTCCCAAAGCCAAGAATGGTGACTGGTACAGGGCATATTCTTAAATATTTGTCAGGAGAAGGAACTGACAGCTTCGATGGCTGCATATCGCCTGGGGTTTTATACGTTACTTCATTTCATTCTCAAAGTGTTGGAGCCAAAATTTTTATGTAGATTTGCATGAATCTGAAACCCACATTCTTCCAAATCTTCCTTGTGGCCTTTAGGTGGCAATGCCATCACGCAAGGATTTGTTCTAATGACGGCTGTGGAAGGCTGCAGGTCGAGAGGCCCTTATTGGTATTGTAGCATATAGGCAATGCCTCTGCCCCTCGCCAACCTTGGGAAACAACAGGAACTGAGAGGGGGTGAGTGGGAGGGGGCGAGACGATGCTGAGGACATCTGATCACTGTGATCTACATGGGGTGCTTGGCCAAATGGTGGATTTAGGTATATGGCTCCAATCACATGCTAAGCCAGCTCTAAATAAATAAATAAATAAATAGAAGCCCTGATTAGTAGCTTTTCTTGTTTTTTGTGGCATGCATACTGTCGCCAAGGCTAAAGTCAAGCCGCAAATGTTGAAGTCACCATGGACTGCAGAGCTGGAAGAGCACAGAGTCCATGCTCACTAGCCAGGGAGCTGCCCTCGCGCACATTGCTGGCACATAAAGCAGTGGGTAAGCAGTGCTGTCCCTAGAAGCCACAGGAAGCCCAGCTTCCGCTCAGGCTATGGCAGCTTTGAGAAGCCTTAGCTCTCACTCTGCCTTTTGCAAAGAGGAGAAATGGTCTTTGTGACTCTGATGGACAGTGGCTGTCCCATTATGTTGATGGCCATCTAGGCTGCTGCTGGGCAGGCTCCCTCACAGTGGCCCTGGGCTCCCCTTGGCCACACACCCCAGGGGGCCTTGCATCAGGCTGGGACAGCTCCCGGAGCAGGCCAGGCAGCACTACAGGGCTCTTGCTGCCAATTCCTCGGGAAGCAATTCGGGTGATACCGTCCCGAGAGGAAGGTGCCTGCAGCTCTTCCTCCGCCTCTCGCTTCGATATGGACAGTACTTTCCCCCCAAATGCCAGGGAATCATAAACACCAAGGAATCTGCCCTTGGCGCCCTGAGATCAGGCCCAGCTAGAAGGCAGCGGGCATCCCTGAGATGGTGGACTGTGGGGTAGGAAAGGACTGCAAGACAGGGGTGTGCCTGCTTCTGGTTGCGAAGGGACCCTGTTCCCCAGGGAGGCATGGAAACAGGCCTTGTGGCCTGAGATGGGCAGCTCTACAGGAAAGAGCAGGAACACATCTGGAGGAAAGGGGCTTTGTCCTGGCAAGGGAACTCCTTGAGGACCTAAACATTTTGTGTATCTTGGAGTTTTTCTCTCAAGCTCTTAACACTTTGCTGAGCACACAATCAATAGTCAAAACTTGCCGAAAGAGAAATGAGACTTTTTTATTTTAAAGATTTTATTTATTTAGTTGACAGAGAGAGAGACAGATCACAAGTAGGCAGTGAGGCAGGCAGAGAGGGACGGGAAAGCGGGCTCTCGCTGAGCAGAGAGCCCGATGTGGGGCTTGATCTCAGGACCCCGAGATCATGACCTGAGCCAAAGGCAGAGGCTTAACCCATGAGCCACCCAGGCACCCCAAGAAATGAGGCTTATTAGCCCCCAGAGTGTTTTCCAATACTAAGGCAAGAAGTAATATGTAGGAGCAGGTAAAATTAAGGCATAAAGGAGGATTCATAAAGGCCCCAGGGCTCACCCAAGACACACAGAGGAGGCCTTCTCTCCCTAGCAAGGGTATTAGGTAGGCAGGAGGGGCTGCCTTGTTACACCAAGAGGCCCTACCACGTAGCCTGAGGGAGAGCAGAGTTATGACGTCAGGCCAGGAGGTTTAGAACTTGCTTGCGTAGAGGGTCATAATCCACTTAGGCATACGGAGGAAGCCAGGCAAGTAGGAAGCCAGCCAGCCCAGGCTGGAGCCATGGGAGAGGACGGACCTCAAAGACAAATAGTCTTGGACGGGGCGGCCTATGGACCACAGGAAGAGGAGGAGGGTTAGATCCTCATTTCCCACTCCTTAGACACCTCCGCCTTGGCTGAAACCCTGAGTGGGATGTGAGGGAAGAATGAACTGGAAGAGAGTGTGGGAGGAGGAGTGAGCAGGCAACAGAGGATGGGAGGCCGGAGCTCTCACCATCCACATCCTGAAGGCTGTAGCGTCGCGCAAGGTCACAAGATGGCAGCACCTTCCCACTCAGGCTCAGGATATTCGGGTCTGTGAGCACAGATAACAGCTGAGGAGGCATGGAAGTGATGCAGTGTGACAAGGTTTGGGCCCAATGGGACAGGGCACCACTGAGACAGGCTGAGGTGCCCAGAATTGTTCCGGTTTCTAGGAAGGTTCTTAGACCTCTGGCTCCTGGCTACACTTCCTATAAGCCAGTTCCTGAGGTTCCCAAAACCTCAGACTGGGCCGTTTTGGGTCTCCAGAAGCCAGAGAAAAGAAGAGCCCGTTCCTCTACCACCTCCGGAGCCAGGACTCAGGACTGAATGCCAGCTCCCTGCAGATTCTCCAGGCTTGCCCTCCCTCCCTCCCTTCCTTTCTTCTTCTTCTTCTTCTTTTTTTAGGGTTATTTGAGAGAGAGAGAAAGAGAGAGAGCACACAGAGGGAGAGGGAGAAACAATTTCCCCTTGAGCAGAAAGCCTGATGCTGGCTCAATCCCAGGACCCTGGGATCACAACCCAAGCTGAAGGCAGGCACTTAACCGACTGAGCCCCATGAGTGTCCCATCTCCAGCCCTCTTCTTGTTACCACCTGCCCCAACCTCTTTACCTGTTGCCAGAGCCACCACACATTTGCCACTCATTTCGGTGGTCTCCGCAGAGGAGAAATTAGATCTGAGCTGAAACACAGGGGCAGAGAAGGAAAGGGCTAATCTCCAAGAGAACTGCCCACATTTCTTCCCCACTTTCAACTCCTATTCCAGGAGAGACAGGCCCTCATCACTGCACCTGCAGGACTCAGAATCCCGGAAGGTGCTGGAGCAATTCTTCCCTACATCCAGGTGAAGCTGGGACCCACTGCCTCTCCTAAGTGGAAGCATCTTGGGATGTCAACTACGTCTGGACCACCTAGGCTAGTTCAGTGCAGGGGTCAAGAGCATGGGCTTCAGGGCACGAAGCCTTTCCGCTTATGGTATACATGACCTTGAGCAAGTTTCTAACATTTCGGTTTTGCCATCTGGAAAATGGAGATAATATCTCCCTTACAGGATGAAAGGGCATAATGTGTGTCCAGTGCTCAGCCCTGCTCCTGCCACAGTAGGCACCAGGGAATTGGCTGTTGGTGTTACTGTCTTATCACTGGGGATGGAGAGGCTGAGTCCTCTGCATCCTCTGCCTCCCTCGCCCCCCACCTTGCCCACCTCCTTCAACAAGGGATCATCAGTATCGTCGTTTTTCACCACGACCTCCTTCACTAGTTCTGTCTGCACCAACCCTGGCCACAGAGACACATAGCTGACCCCGTGGCGCCGCAGCTCCTGGGCACAGTCCGCAGCCAGCCTGTCGCACTGTAGAAGGACAGAAGGCAGGGTAAGAGCCAAGGCATGTGGCCACATCCCCTTCCTTCCCTGCCTTCCCTGCTTCTACTGGGGATGCCCAGCCCCCTTACCCTTCCCAGAGCCCTGTCTCAGCTGTCTACCTCCCCAGCATGCTGCCTATTCTGGCCGAGCAGAGGAGCTGTCTATGGAGGGGAATGGGGGGGAGGAGAGGGCCAGTTGGCCTTACTACTCTGACCACTGGGACTTGTAGCTCCTGAGCTAGAGGTACCGTCATGGTCCGAGGCTCCCTAACCCCTGTGCTATTGGATCCTCACCGCAGCTTTGCCCACGCCATAGGGGACATTGAAGAAATACTGCAGCCCCCCAAGGGAGGAGATGACCACGATGAGCCCCCGGCCAGCTGGAACCATGAGCCGCGCTCCATACACCGAGCACAAGTAGTGGCCTCTAGAGAGTGGGGCAAGGAAGGAGAAGGAATAAATGATGTCCACCCCTGGCCTGGCTGCAGTAGCCCTGGAAGCTTCCTCTGCCCTCTAGTGGTTATGACAGCTGACAGAAGGCCACATGGGGCAGCCATGGACCTGGGGAATCAACGGCTAGAGGCCACTTTCTGAGACGAACACTGGTAAAACGAACCACCAATGAATGAGTATAGAGGAAAAACTTAGTTTTCCACCTTTCTATGTAGGGAAAACCCAGTGCACACATACTTGGTAACCAGAAAAACATTTCATTTGCATGGAAAACGGGTCCCTCCAAGTGGAAACAAGGAGAGAGAATTATAGTTTCAAAAGGAAAGCCCAATGTAAGATAATACAGAGGAAAGGCACGATCAATGTGTACATAAATGTGTATGTGGGGGATGAGGACATGTTGCGCTTCAAGAGGCTCACCAAGTGGCTTTTATTTTGGAAAATTCATCAGGGCTCAGGGGCCAAGGTCTGGACCTCTCTGCCTTATAGGCTCATAACCCTGACTCGAAAAAGATGAGAGTGTGGAGGGGCTTTCCCTTTGGAGGGCTAAGCATGCGGGCATTGCCAGTACCAGTCTTTGGGTTTTCTTTTCTTGCCTCTTAGCTGACCACCCCTCCCTGTCCTCATCATCTTTCTTCTACCTTGGAAATCACAACTGGATTCTAATCCTGCTTCCCTAGGATTGCCACTAGAAGCTGTGGGTGTTCCTAAATGCCTTAGTCACAGATTTTCAGATAATCTCTTAGTTACTCCCACAGGTGGCTGATCACGCCCACGGAGTGCAGTTTCCAAAAGGGCACCATCGTTCCAATACTAAAAAAAGAGACACAACTGGTGTATCATGCTAGGGGAACTCTGCCTGCTGTGTTTCATCTCGCTCCCATGCCAGAAGTATGTGTAACTCTGACGTGGGAGTGCCCCTACCTGCGGATCTGGAGTGAAGATATGGAGGCTAAAACAGCAGGCACTCATTCTCGATGACTATCTCTTGATCTAAAACAAAAGAACTTCTTCCTCTAAGCATTTTTGTCAAGATCAACTACAGGTTGTGTGCCTGACTGAGGAAAGGAGGCTCTCTTCTGGGCCATGCATTTGGATGTGCAGAATAAGGCAGGAGAGAGGCCAAGAGCAAGTTCAGATGAAATTACTGACAGAAGCAAGGTAAAACTCAATGTTCCCAGGTACAGAGCCACCTGGATGGAAATTCTCCAGGGGTATAAAATTAATGGGACAAGGAGAAGAGATGGGGAGGTCAGAGGGACAAGGAGAGGGCACATAGGGAGAGGTCCAGGCACACCCAGCCCTTTTGGCGGGAGAAAGAGAACACTCACCTGAGTCCAACATTGTTGATATCATCCCAGATGGAGGCAGGGGCTTCCCAGAATGCCTTCTTAATGTTCTTCATAAGTACCTGGAAGGCACAGGAGATGTGGTGAGTTGGACGATCTGAAGGCTGGAAAGCATGAGGGGCTGGATAATGAAAGGGACGGTGAGTGGGAACGAGCATTCCAGGGTCAGAGGGGGAGGTTAGGAATGTGGAACTGGAATCAAAGTTTAAAGAGTACTGGGACTCCGGCATAGGCGTTGTTGACCAGCACATCTAGACGCCCTTGCTGTTCCCGATCCACTTGCTCAAACAAGCTTTGCACTTCACTCTCCTGGCTTGAATCACACACCACAGGAACACACTGGCCCCCTCGAGATTGTGCCTGGTGAGGGACAGAGGGGATATGAGTTTAGAGTTGCACATGAATGCGTGACAGGAGGCAACTCTCTTCAACTCCCAGCTTGGGGGACAGAGAGGGCAAGAGGAGGAATCAGAGCCAGCGCTGAGGGAAGACAATGAGCAATATCGCCCTCTGGTGTCTGTTTGAGGAACTTTAGGAATGCTAGGTCCTTTTCCTACAGACCCCAAAGTACTGGGATTTCAGGTTTAATACTTCTTTTTTTTTTTTTTTAAGATTTTATTTATTTATTTGACAGAGAGAGAGATCACAAGTAGGCAGAGAGGCAGGCAGAGAGAGAGAGGAGGAAGCAGGCTCCCCGCTGAGCAGAGAGCCCGATGTGGGGCTTGATCCCAGGACCCTGAGATCATGACCTGAGCCGAAGGCAGAGGCTTTAACCCACTGAGCCACCCAGGTGCTCCGGGATTTCAGGTTTAAAATCTACATTTACTGAGGCCTACCACGGGCAAGGCATTATACTCTGCTAGTGGAAGGCAAGGCACAAATAAGGCAGGGGGGCTGCTCCCGAGAAAGGAGTATTTCTCTCTCTCTCTTTTTTAAAGATTTTATTTATTTATTTATTTATTTATTTGACAGAGAGAGATCACAAGTAGGCAGAGAAGCGGGGTGGGGGGGGAGAAGCAGGTTCCCCGCTGAGCAGAGAGCCCAATGTGGGGCTCGATCCCAGGACCCTGGGATCACGACCTGAGCCGAAGGCAGAGGCTTAACCCACTGAGCCACTCAGGTGCCCCGGAGTATTTCTCTTTTTCCTTCTTCTCAGTCATTCCCATCTCTCATGCTCTGAGCTCCCACCCTTCACCACTCACTTGCAACCCCTACTCAGTCCCCGCCTTCTGACAGTCACCTCACCAATGCTCCCAGCTAGCAACTGAAAAACCAAAACTCTCAGCTATGAACTATTTCTATTTTCCGTTTTATCTTACCTTCCATAAATGTGTCCCAATCCTCCAACTTCACGGGAAGAAAAACACCTTATTCAAGACCAATCCTACTCTCCGGATCCATGCTCTGGGTCCCACCCTCTTACCTCCTTACTTCCTAACTGCTCACCCAAGATCCCAGAGCATTCTGTGCCTCTGATTTCCTGCTAAGGCCCTATCTTTTAAAAGTAGAAGTGACATCTTACTAGTCTTGGTTAACCTCAGTGCTCCACGCAATGTCTGGCAAACCAAATATTTATTTAACCGAAATCCAGCAGAAAAGTCAAGCGAAACTGCACAGCTCAATAAAGTCTTGCCTAAAATAAAGGAAACCAAAGGTCGACAACCCTTCAGTTGCAATTCCTAAAGGTCTTAAACAGAAAGTTTCTTCATAAAACTTAGTGGCAAACTTTGACCTGATCTGAAGTTATTTATCGGCTTTATTTATTCTAATTTGAATAAATATTGACACTATGTTGAGGAATATTATGGCTTCAGGTAAGGGATTAGTGGACAGAGTGGTTAATGGGAAGGGCTACCTCGGGTGGTTTCTGCTCCTATGGTCCCAGGGGAAGCACCCACCTCCTCAGCAGTGGCCCGCAGGGTGTCCATATGGCGGCCAGTGATGTAAACTGTGGCACCTGCTTGGCAGAGTTGCAAGGCGATGCCACGGCCAATACCCCTGGAAGCACCAGTCACCACGCACACTTGGCCTTTCATAAGAGCTGCCATCACTCAGAAGCAAAAGGGGGAAATCTGTGGAAGCAAAGACTTGCTCTAGGGAGGCCTGCAAACTGTGAATGCGCAAGGGTGATCCTGATAGTGGTAGCAGGGGGAGGCAAGGTTGGAATCCTTTGAACAGAGAGAAGTTTCAGAGTGGGACAACAGTGCAGGCTGCAGGGAAAGATTGTTAGTCCTTTCTGGGAGGTGAACGAGTTGGCCTTTGCCGCTGGCTAGAAGCCGTCAAGGCACTATGACCCCAGGGACTGAGTAGGACTGTCCAGGGCTAGACATCTACCGGAACTCTGAAAGTGGCTGACAAGGTGGGGTTCTGGCGCGGCTGCCCCTCACTGCGGGTCCACGCAGGCTGCTGGGCTATCAGGAGCTCTAGGCTCTGGCCTGGCCCTGTCAGGCCTAGCACAGAGGCGCGGCTTCCAGGTCCGGGGTAAGCGTGAAGCCCAGGGACCCTGAGTCCTAAGTAGTGGGAGCTCGCACTCCTTACTTGCTGCTACTCGTGCGGTCTTGGAGTCTCGGCGCCGTCTGGCTCGCAAAATCCTTGGTCTTCGAGAACTTCAGTTCTAGCCGCGGGGGCAGGATGGGGGTGACTGAAACTGAGTCAGAGTATGAGGCTGGGGAGCCAGTTTGCGTTCCGACCAGGACCAAGCTGTGGGCGTCGAGGAGAGGGTCGGTCTGGGCTGATTCTCAGGAGGGACAGGGCTGGACGAACGGAGGCGGGGCGACCTGGGAGCACGCCCACTGACGCCGGGGTAGGGGCCGTCGCGGGACTATGACGTATACACGGCGCCCTGAGCGCGACCGCGTTTCTAAACTTCGTGCAGTCCAGTCCCTGCACGCGCCTGGCTGCTTGAGGTTCCCTATTCTCTGGAAAGCTTTGGCGGACGGACACTGGCTTTAGCACCCATGGGGCTGGGTCCGCGCTCCCCCAACAAGGCGGGGCGCCGCTTCCCAGCAGGTGGCAAACGAGGGCGCGGGGCCAAGGGGTCGGGGCGCCCCCGACCAGGCCGCCAGCGGCCATCCTGTTCGCCTCTGGACGGTTGCTCGGAGCCGACACTCGATGCGCACTCTCACCTGAGTTCCGAAGCTCTCGGATATTTCCGCCGGGCGCTGTCCGCGCTGAAAGAGGCTCCCGAGACCGGAGAAGAACGAGGTGGGGAGGAACCCCAGGGTGGGACTAGGAGGGATTCGTTGGGCATAAATTCCAGGACAGGAAGGGAAATTTTCATGGGTCCCCAGGACGAAGGGACTTCGTCTCATCTCCCATACCCTCTTTATCGCTCCCCCCTCTCTCCCTCACTCGGTTAACTGATGGAACATAAACTATTTTCCTCTCAGTCTCTAAAATAGTTCTTTTCTTGTCTATCCAGAACTGATGGTGCACAATGTTTTGAAGGAAGTGGAGGCTCAGGCCCTAGCCTTGGCCACAAACAGGACTGGCAGTGAGATTATGCAGGAACTGTTGGGATTCAGTCCCCTGAAACCGCTATGTCGAGTCTGGGCTGCTTTGCGCTCCAGCTTGCGCTCTGTGGCCTGTCATCGATGCGGGGTGCATGTATTGCAGAGTGCTTTGCTGCAGCTGCCTCGATTGCTGGGGAGCCCGGCAGAGGAGGAGGAGGAGGAGGACTTGGAGGAGGAGGAGAATGGCAAGGATGGTCCCTTGGAGACCCTGGAGGAGCTGGTTTTGGGACTAGCCTCTGAAGTGTGTGATGATTTTCTTTTCTACTGTGGAGACATACATGCCAGCTTCGTGGTTAGAACTCTGCTGCAGGTGTTGGGAGGGACTCTTCTGGAGTCTGAGAGAACCAGACACCGTGGCTCTCAGTCACCTGGTAAGTATTACAAGAGAGGGAAGTGGACCTAGAGGAGAGTTTAGGAAGTCCAAAAGGAGAGAGTAAGCAGAGGAGTAATTCCTCATGACTTTGAAGAGTTAGCAGAGAAATGAGAACAAAGCTTAACAAACCAAAGATTAGCGTGAACAAAGGCCCAGAGGTGAGGCTGCATCTGTGTGTTTGAGGGACAGCTAGTGGACTGGGCCAGGGGCAAGAGGTGATGCAGTTGGGCAATGGATGTCAATTTCTTTTTAACCACAACTTATGTAATTTTTTTTTAAACATCACCAAACTGCCTATGTGTATGTATATAGATACTGGACTCAAACCAGAACTTTGAGAAACAATATTATTAATTGATATTTTTTCTCTGGTTTTATTTATTTATTTGATAGAGACTCAGTGAGAGAGGGAACATGAGCAGGGTCAGAGGGAGAGGGAGAAGCAGGCTTCCTGCCAACCAGGGAGCCCATTGCCAGGCTCCGTCCTAGGACCCTGGGATCATAACCTGAGCTGAAGGCAGACACTTAATGACTGAACCACCCAGGCACCCCTTCTCTGTTTTATTTTATTCTGTTTTGTTCCATTGAAAAAGACCTGGTTAAGATCCACTAAAGTGATTTCATGATGCAGTCATAGGCAGTGCCCTACATTTTTAAAAACTCTGGGAAATAAGGTTAGAGAGTTTAAAGGAGGCCTGATTTCTGAACAGCTTGAATTCCTGATTGAGAGTTTGGCCTATCTCTTGTGGACCACTGGAGAGCTGGTTGAAATTTAGAAAAATTAAAACAGAAACAGAGTCTCAGTTCAGTCATCCAGATGAGAAGACAGATTCATACATATGCTGCATCTCCAAGCTGAATCTTTGATCATCTATGGACTCATTCTCCCTCCTGGATGGTCCTTTTGGATCCCAGAACTGCACAGGTTTTTGTTCTTCTTTCAGATGCACAAAGGGCCCCGGCTCGGGAATGTAAGCCAACTGATTTTGAGGTCCCTGAAACTTTCTTGAATTGCCTTCGGGACCTGAGCTCTTGCTTTCTGAAGGACATTGCTGGTAAGGAGGCTAAGAGAAGGAGGGTCTAGGACCCATTTTTCTGGAGGTGATGGTCATCATGCAAAGCCCTCAGATCAGTCGTATTTCTCTTCAAATCTGATCTGGTTTATATTGCAGACTTTGTATAGAGCCTTTATGTCCATTGTCCCTGGTACCTTACTGCTTGAGGTTTGAGATTGTACAGGTTGTCTGGATTTTGGAAGAGCTGTTTTGATTATTTCTGCTCTCTCCCATAGTATTTATCACTGACAAGATCTCCAGCTTCTGCCTTCAAGTGGCCTTACAAGTCTTACACCACAAACTGCCCCAGTTTTGTGCTCATGTCTGCAGTGCTGTGATCAGCTATCTGAGTAGCCGCAACCCCTCAGCAGACAGCAGGTATGCTTAGACTGTGTGAAGTGAATGGAGTGACGTGGGTATTTTAGGTGAAGTAGAGTAAGGCTGCCTGATCACCTTCTCCTTGTCCCTAGCCCCCTGCTGCTATTTCTGCGGGATCAGACAAGCTCCAGACTTCTGGAGCAGATCCTGCTGGTATTGGAGCCCCTGAGGCTCCAGAGCCTCTTTGAGGATCACTTCCAAGGGCAGCTGCAGGCCCTGGCTGCACACCCAATTGCCAACTTCCCTTTGCAGCGTTTACTGGATGCTGTTACTACCCCTGAGCTGGTGAGTTGAGAATGGGGCTGGATCTCTTTCTGTACCCTGTTGTTTCTGCTAGTTCTGGTTCATTGGGTTTTATTTTATCGTGTGCCTACCTCAGTGTCTCTGACTGTGTGCTGGCCATTCCCTTGGAAAGGTTATTCCTGGGGTTTTCTCAGAGCTTAGGACAAAAGTACGTTCTTCCCAGAAAGGATTTGTGTTAGCTTCTCAGGTGCCTGGCAGGAGACTGGCTTAATCCAGATTTGCAGCTTGAGGTTCCATGGTCCATTCAGATGCTGGGTGCTTAGCGACAGATCTGTATGAGTGCTGGAGCTATGGCTATAGCTTCTTTTTACTTTTGCTGCTTAGCACCAATGCATGCTTGCCTGTGACCTCATGGGTTGGGAGTTGGAATAAGAAAGGCATATTTAATTCTACTATTCTCTTATCTTGAGAGGGTGGCCATTTAAAGTACCCTGCTCCCCCCAAGTGAGGGGATACCTCAAAGACTGCACCCTGGTCCTGGACTTTGTGTGACCAAACCAAAACCCTGATATTGGCAATGTTTATCTAATGTTTTTAGTTTTCAGTAGGATTTCTCTGAATAACTTAGTCCACTGTTACGAAATGCCAAATATTCTTCTTTCTGTGTCTCTCCTCAGCTGTCACCTGTGTTTGAGGAGCTGAGCCCTGCCCTGGAAGCTGTGCTGGCTCAAGGTCACCCAGGGGTGGTCATTGCCCTTGTGGGGGCCTGCCGCAGAGTTGGGGCCCACCAAGCCCAGGTCCTGCAGCTGTTGCTGGAGGTGATGTTACCCGCCACCCGTTTATGCCCTCCATTCAAATTCTTATCTTTGGTGGTTGTATCTCGGGTCTCAGGAGGTCTCATTCCTGAGGAGTTCACAGATATGGAGCAAAATGAAGCCAAACACATCTCATAGCCCTGGCATAAAAATGGTCTCCCAGAACTAAGCAACTTAAGGACTAAATGTTTGTTCAGCCCTTGTCATGTGTATAGAGGCTGGGGATACAGCAAGGCAGATGAGATCCTGCCCTCTTCCACAGTTTACACTCTCACGTCTCTTGAATGCTTTCCCCTGTCTACAGAGTCGGGGTTAGGGATGAAGTTGTTCTCAGATTCATCATGTTTTGTCTTCCCCTCTAGGCCTTCCACTGTGCAGAGCCCTCTTCCCGGCAAGTGGCCTGTGTGCCTCTCTTCGCCACTCTGATGGCTTATGAGGTGTACTATGGACTGCCGGAGGAGGAGGGAGCGGTGCCTGCAGAGCACCAGGTGAGGTAGGAGTGGGGCCAAGCCAGTGACTAACTGGGACCCGGGGTTTAAAAAGTCCTTCACCCTTGTGGTGAGGGTGGTGAGGCCTCTGGCTTCATCCAGGCAGAGATGGCAGTTCAGTGGCTGCCTCCTAATGCCCTCTCTCTGTCCTTCCAGGTGGACGTGGCCACAGCCAGGGCCCTGGGGGACGTGACAGTCCTGGGGTCCCTCCTACTCCAGCATCTGTTGCATTTCTCTAGTCCTGGTATCATACTTCAAAGTCTGGGTGCCTTGACGGGACCACAGCTTCTGTCTCTAGCCCAGAGCCCTGCTGGCTCACACGTGCTCGATGCTGTCTTGAGCAGCCCCACTGTGACGCGCAAGCAGCGCCGCCGTGTGCTGAAGACCCTAAAGGTTCTGTTTCTGCTCTGATGCGCCCACTAGCATCCATTTATGAGAACATGAGCTTGCCCCAGTACTGTCCTTTAGAGTCAGAGAGAGAATATGTAGTTCTAAGATTCTCTTGACTCCACCTGTAGACTTGGGAAACTTCACTTCCCCCTTGCCCTCCCCAGCACACCTTTGTGAACTGCCCTAAGGGGACCTACCTTGCTTGTCTCACTGTAGGGACAATATGTGGCTCTGGCCTGTAGTCGCCAT